CATCCATGAGTCATCCGTCTCGAGTTTGGTGAACTGGCGTAGCGAGAGATCGGCGAGATTATGGACAGTAGCAACACAGTTAGAGTCTCCTGCTCCCCGTATCAGAGCACTGCAGAGACCTGGAGGGAAAGTGCAGTTGAGGAATACAATCTGCAGACTACTATGATGATGGAACATGCACTGTCACTCGTGAGGAATCATACAAAAATCGAGTACACATACTACTTGCATGATAAGAACGGCAAGCTATGTGCCACCATAACTTCTGTGGGTACTATTGAGGAAGCAAGGAGGACTGTTGTCAGCCATCAGTGAGCGTTTAGTCTCTGAACAAGAACAACTCACTTATCCGGATATTCAGCAATCATCTAATCAGCAATCAATCATCAACAATCAATCATCAGCAATCAGTTATTAGTGATCAATTTCTAGCAAACAGTTTCCAGCAATCAGCTTCCTGCAATCAGTTTGGTAACCAGTTCTCCAGGACCATCTGGTCGGTTTGCACTGGCAAAAGTACTCATGAGCACAGTTCAGTCTACGCCGGTCAGTGAGTTAGTGKTGGCCAGCCTCAACCKRTTTTCATGTAAAGAGGCATTCCGTTATCAGTATGTTAGTGCCATCRGTTTCAGACAGGGAGATCTGTCAATCTTCGTTGTCCAKACCAGTTTTGTTGATGGCACTATCCAYGATCTGAGGCCTYACCTGAAGAAGGGCAAGGAGGCTCATGAACTTTTCGATCCAATCTGGATCTCAGCCACCGAATACCTTGAGCAGAGAGAGAGGGAGCTCGATGAGAGTGGCACTACGTTGATCCGCAGCTTCGGGCCGATGCTTTATAGCGACTATCCTAGGCCTCCAGTCCCTTCTCTTCTCACAGATGGCACGAGTTGGCTGGATGTGATTGGTTTGGCAAAGAGGTACATCTCTCCGGCAGTGATCGACGTTTAGGCGCTGACCGAGCCCACCTCAGACGAGGAGTCTTTTCAGTGGACGGACTGCCTACTTTGTGGGAGGAGTTTTGCTCCATGGTTAACTACCGTGTCATGTGCCTGATGGTCATGCTCAGAGCTTGCTGGCTTCAGGTGGCATTTTGTCACGAAGCCTAAGTCTCAGATTGTACGTGGGCGTGGTTCTCGGCACCAGGTGGCCTTGTTGATGATTTCGGCGAAGGTGTTGTAGTGCTCGCGATCACCAAGCACGAGGCTCAAAGCGGCGCATGATCGGTTGTAGAACTCCCGACGCAGATGCGAAAATGGTAAGTCTAGATCAGGCGTCGCCACGATCTTCTGTCAATCCGTGAGTCAATCACGTGTCGCTCTGTTTCCTTGAGCCATCCTGAAGATGCGGTTGATGGAGAGCGCCGGGGCGTTGTCAACGATGAACCGCTTCTTCCATTCCTTTGTCAGATCTTCCCAGGAGACCTTCGTGTGAAGGTCGAAGACCTCGACGTCGTGGATGGTTGCCATATGGCTGAGTTAGATCTGGCATCCTCCCTTGACGTTAAGGAACAATGCGCCGATGAACAGATGTTTGGGGACCTCATGAATCCCCAACTCTGTTGTGAATCCTTGCCACCAGACGACCGGGTCCTGATGTGTGTAATCATCGAACTTCCCGATCCGGAACGTCGGCATTTTGTAATGCTTTGCCGTGCTGGTGCTGCGATCGGGGTCAGACGGCTGTTGTCGCTGCCTGATCTCGGTCCTCAGCGTGTCCAGCTGCTGGCTGATGGGTGGTTGGCGCCTCGAAGGTGATGATGTCGCCGAGCATTGCGACGACGTGGTCGACACGTTCCTTCAATTGGCGGGTTGAGGGTGCATTGTTGGACTCGCCAGCCTCCGGTCTTGGTGCAACTTGCTCCAAGTCCTGCATACGGGAATCAAGTGCCCGTGCTGCATCCTCATGCCGAGCCTTGTGGGTTCGCATGGCCCGCTACATATTCGCCAGCTCGGACTGCAGGTGGTTACAAGTGTAAACCAACCGAGTCACGAGTTTGGCCATGAATTCCCTGTGTTGTTCCTCCGGTGTCGCGTCATCGTGCCTTTCAGATGGTTCAAGTGCCAATACTTGAGTCTTTCGATGCTGGCGGCTTCGTGCCGCTGCAACAGATCCTTGGCTTCCTTTCGGCGTGCCTGGGTAGCTGCATCTGCTTCGGCCTGAAGCCGCTGCTTCTCAGCGGTTGCTGCTGCTTCAGCCTGTACGCGGGCAGCCTCGGCTGCCAGCTGGCGCTGTTCCTCAGCCTGCCACGTCTGGAACCGCTGTTTGTAGTCGGCAATAGACTCGTTGGCCAGTTGGCCTGGCATGCCCAGAGCTGCGCTCGTCATGGTGGCGGGGCACTGCTGACGTGGCATTGTGACGTGGCACTGTTGCTTACGTGGCACTGTGACCGACGTGGCACTGCTGACGTGGCTCTGCTGACGTGGCACTGCTGATGTGGCACTGTTGCTTATGTGGCACTGCTGACGTGGCACTGTTGCTTATGTGGCACTGCTGACGTGGCACTGTTGCTTATGTGGCACTGCTGACGTGGCACTGTTGCTTACGTGGCACTGCTGACGTGGCACTGTTGCTGACGTGGCACTGTTGCTGACGCGACACTGCTGACGTGGCACTGTACCAACTCGGAAATGCATGCAAAGGGTGGGTGGGGAGGGAAAACGCAGGTAGGGAACCAACCCAACAATACTTTCCTCCCGGCCCTAATCAACATATAAAATAAAAAATAAAAAATAAAAGAGGACTACTCTTTTTTTTTTTTCTTTTTTTTTTGTATATCTGTTGATCTGTTATGAGTGAGACATGTCAAAGGAGTACAATGAACGAGATCTAGGCTAGGTTCCGCCAAGTTTCGGTTTTCACAAAATGCGATCTTGAAAAAAAAAATATTTACGAAATAGCGTAGAGATGCGATTTCCAGAAAAGAACGAAATTCAGTTTCTGAGAATATGGCAACCTCCGAACATGCCTAAAGAAATGTTGGTAGGCTTCGCAAGATTTCGGTTTTCAAAAGAAAATTTGCGAGATAGAATGGAAATTCGATTTTCAGAAAAGAATAATTCCGGTTTCCGAGAATATGACCACTTCTATCGTTATCCCAATATGCCTAGAAAATACTAACATCAGAAATTTTCAGCTATGTATGCAAAATATCAGAGAAACGAAATGCTACTATCGGGAATTTTCAGACAAAACGAAATGCGATTTATCATAAATTTTCAGATATTTGTTACGTAAAAACGAAATACCAATATCAGAAATTTTCAGGTAAAACGAAATGCGAATATCAGAAATTTTCAGATAGTTGTTGCGAGAAAAGAAAAAAAAATTCAGAGATTTGACGAAGTTCTACTTGATTTACTAATGAGTAATCAATAGATCAAGCAAGCTGGCTACTTGATTGAGCGGGTCCTCTGAATGAGAGGTCCGCTCCGATACCAAAGTGTTGCATACTGTAACGGTGCAGACCAGAACAAGAACCGACCTCTCAATACAAAGTACAAGATAGCGCAGCGGAAAACTTAGATACCAATTATCCGAACAATCAATATTGCAATGCAGCCTAGAACATACATCATCATCATCATCCCCATGGTGTGAAGGGGTCTGGCGCTGACACAGGAAGAATGCGCCGGCCCCGAACCATACACAGACGAAGAAGAGGGGCAACGCTCTCTCTCTGTAGTAGTCCGCTGATACTGAGAAGTCAGATGGTGAGAGGGGAAGAAGAGATGGTGGACTTCGAAGAGGAAGAAGAAGAACTCTCTCTCTCTCTCTCTCTCAGTCCGGTACTAACCTGTGAAGTTGGCGCCTTGATGCAGGTACCTCGAAGCTGGAGCTGGAGCTATAGCGCCACAGGTAAGTCTCGTTGGCCTCCGCCAGCCATCTCTCTCCCACACTACCACTACCACCTACTAGCGCCCAGCGCTGAAGACTACCGCTATGGCTACTAGCGCCCAACGCTGAAGACTACTGCTAGCGCTAAGCTACCTCCTGCAGCGCTCCTCCCGAGTGTTGCGGCCGAATCCTGAAGACTACTCGTGCCTATTGTCCAACTACCTACCCGTGAAGTGCATGGGACTTCCTATGTACTACACGGCCTGCCTCCTGACTGCAGGGCGAGGCAGTCCAGGAGGCTGATTTTGCCAATGCCGCAGGGAGTCAGGGGCTGCCGCTGCAGCTCCTGCTTGAGGCTGTCGTGGGAACAGGCTAAAGATGGCTTGTTCCCGAGACCCTGTTTTTGTGCCCGAGTCTTAGGGTAGGTCGATCTTACGAGGGCCCGAAAGTGGCCCTCCGTTTCAGGCTGAAAAGCCTCAGGGCTGAAAGGCCCTGTTATAGGCTGAAAACGAAATAGGGCCAGCAGGCCCTCGTTTTCAGTTTCAGGCTGAAACGACATGGGGCCTGTAAGCCCTATTTTCTAGGTTTTTAGGCTGAGAATGCGGGACAGGCCCTGCAGGCCCATGTGGCTATGCAGTACGCCACATATCCCTCTTGGATCCGATAGTGCGAAGGCGCCGGATTGGGAGAGAAACAATTTGCGTACTTGTCGCGAAACTCAGGGTCGACTTGATAGCCGCGGATGAAACTATCCCGCAAGTCATCCTCGATCTCGAACGTTGATTAGACCGCGGTGCAGTGGTCCAGATGCCGTGAAAGAGCATCCGCAAAATGGTTTGACTTCCCTGGAATGTGATCGGGAAAGAAGTCGAATTGGTCGATGAAGGCCATCCAACGGGCGATGGTGCTGTTGACGGTGTCGTGAGACTTGTAGAAGACCAACGGATTGTTGTCCGTTACCCATCGGAACTGGCGTCGACCAAGGAGGAAGTGCCGCCACCTCTTGAGTGTGTGGACGAAAGCGAGAAGTTCCTTCTTGCGTGCATCATCGATTGAGTGCATGGCCGACACTTTCTTGCTGAAGTATGCGACCGGGTGCCAGTCCACGCCGTCATGTTGCTCGAGGACGGCACCAATGCCATAGCTGGATGCGTCCGTGGTGACACGTGTTGGCAATAGCGGGTCGTATATCCGCAATACCTCCGCGGAGAGCAATGCGGCCTTGAGGGCCAAGAATGATTCACGCGCGTCCGTTCCGAAATCAAACGGTCGGTCCTCGCATTGAAGCTTTGGTTAAGTGAGCCACGATCTTCGAGTACCCTCTGATGAAACGTTGGTAGTAGACAGCGAGGCCAAGGAATGATCAGACATCCGTGACGTTCCGCGGCTCCGGCCAATCTTGGACGGCTTGAATCTTGTCTGACAACGGACTGATGCCTTGTGGAGTGACGAAATGGCCGAAGTATTCCCACTCTTGGCGTACGAATTCGCAATTGTCGCGGTTGGCTTTGAACTTGGCGCGCCGGAGTGTCTCCAACACTCGTCGAAGATGGTCAAGATGTTCCTCCAAGGTCCGGCTATAGACGAGGATGTCGTCCAAGTAGACCAGCACGAACCGGTCCAGCATTGCATGGAACTCGTTGGTCATCGCCGCTTGAAAAGTCGTCAGGGCGTTGGTGAGTCCAAAAGGCATGACGACCCACTCGAAGTGCCAGTACCGTGTCTTGAATGTGGTCTTGTAGCGATCTTGCGACCGAATCGAGATTTGATGATATCCCGACTTCAAATCCAGTTTGGAAAAAATTTTCGCGCCGCCCAAGCGCTTCAGAAGGTCGTCAATACGAGGAAGAGGTCCTGCGTTCTTGACGGTTTGCGCGTTGAGCTTGCGGTAATCGATGCATAGGCGAAGGTCCTTGTTCTTCTTTCGAACGAAGAGAACGGACGCACCATAGGGTGAGCTGCTGGGCCGGATCCAGCCTTTGTCCAACAAGTCGTCGAGCTGCGCGCGGAGTACTGTAAGTTCCTCCTCCCTCATGCGATAGATGCAACCTTTCGGCGGCACGACACCGGCCTCGAGAATGATCTCGTGTGAGATCGGTCGATTCGGCACCGCGCCGGTAGGTGCCTCGAAGACGTCGGCGAATTCGTCGAGCAATCGCACCACCCGGGGGTCTGAAGACAAGTCTGTGGGTTGAGATTCGGCTACCACGACGGTTCGAAGAAAACATAAGCCTATCTCGCCGGTCCGCTCGTAAGCGCAAGTGGCCCGAAAAGATTTGGCTGTTACAACTTGGCACCGGATCGAAGGGTGCGGGAGAGGAATAGTACATGGTACTTAGGCGCCAAACGCGTCGCGAACCGTAAGTGTCCGCCGATGGAAGTTGACCGTGTGATCTGCACTTGCAAGCCAAGGCATCCCCAGAATGATGTCGAAGTCTGTGTCCAAGACGTCAAACATCACCGGTTCGCATGCATGAGGTGCGAAATAAACCGGGACGGCTTCGATGTAGCGATCAAGGAGTTGTTGCGTTCTTCCGTCCAGGCCGGCCCTTTGCATGAAGGACTGGTTAATGAAATTGCGAGTCTCGCCGCTATCCAGCAAAGCGCTGCAGGACGCTTGCCCGATTTGGATGCGGACATAAAGGAGCACTGCGTTGTTGTCGTCGTACCGGTGCGTGCGAAACTCGCGGGCCACCTTGCTCACATACGCAAGAATGTCCCCCACTGCGACTTCGTCCTCCGTCGGCGAAGTTGGTGGTGCATAGAAGGCTAGGTATGTATGGAGATGAGCGCTATGAGCTGCGCATTGCGGCTCCGGTAAGCAGCCGGTGGAAGGGAGAGGAAGCCATGCAAAATCCTCGGGCGTCAACGGGTCCAAGTCCTCTATGTTGAACGCACGCGCCGAATCCGGTGAAGGTCCACTTGAAGACGAATCAATGCCGCTGCTTCCGAACGGAGAAGAGACCGCACATACATCCTGTCCTTGGGCTCGTAAATTCAGCGAAGGTACGAGCCGGGCAGCATAGTCCTCAAAAGAATGAAGAGTGGGAGGACTTACGATGTCCGCATGTGCCCCGGAACCGAGGGAGGTTACTCGTACAATAACCGGTTTTGTAGGCGTCGAGAGTGCCGTTGCAACACTCTCGGCGGTGCTCACTTTCCCGACTGGGCGGTACCCTTGGCCTTTGTGGGACAGCTCGCTGTCTCATGTGCTGAGTTGTTGCACCACAAACAATAGCGGTACTTGGTGCGGACGCGACATCCGCGTTCCGTCAGACCAAACGCTGTCCAAGGTCGTTGCTCTTGAGCTGCTTGCCCGAGCCCAGAAGTAGTGGTGTTTGTCCTAGTCCTTTGCCGGGGCGGCCACCATTCTAGGCAGCTGCGAGTCTGTCTCCCTCGTCAAACGAAACAGCCTCGTGTAAAATTGAAGGGTCGCTAGGCGTTGCTGCTGCTACCACGACCGCTTTCGGTCGATGCTGATTCGCGCCCTGGCCGACAGTCGACGAGTGGCCCGTATTCCTGGCTGCCAAGTTCGTCACAATGATCTGCGCGGCCTTGTTGAAGAGTTCCTCACTTGTGTTGAGGTTCTCGGCAACCTGAGTTAACGCATTTTGCAATGCTGGGCACGACCTCTTTATGAAGTAAAGCTTGATGTCGTCGAAGTTCATCGGCAACTTGGGCGTGCTTGCCAGTCGTTGATGATGTTCTCCGGAAACGTCAGCAGCTTGTCCATCGCCTGGTGCTCGGGCGGTTCTACTTGGAAACGCTTCTTCCATGCCGCCGTGAGATCTGCCCAGGTGATGTATTTGTGTAACTTGGTGACTGTACATGCATGTGCGGACAACATGTTGTCCAACCATGCCTGACACGCGCCTCCCGAGCGGGAGTACAAATATGCATGCCGATTTGCGTCGATGACGTGGTGGATATCCAGCTTGAGCTCAAACTGGCGCCACCATTGGATGGGGTCGGTCTTCGATGCGTCACAGAAGATCGGGAGCCCATCGAACTTGGCAATAGTTTCGCGTGTCGTTGCGCTAGGGCCGGCTGTTGCAGCTGCTGTGCCCCAGTCTTAAGTGTTCCCACGTTTATCTCCAAGACATTGACGCGGTCGACGAGGTTGGAGCATCTGGTCCGTCGACTATTGTAGCGCCTTGTTGGCGGTAGCACCTGCTGCTCCAGCTGCTGTATGCGCTTGAGCATCTGGTCCGTCGACTATTGTAGCGCCTTGTTGGTGTGGTCGAGAGAGTGGATGTCCTCCTGCTGCGCGATACAAGTAGCAAGAAGGTCCGTGACGCGGTTGAGCAGCTGAGCTACTCTGATCCCGTAGTCAACGGATTCTCTGTTCTCGGCCTCCCTCTGCCAGTCCTTGGCCTGTGCGTGTAATGCATTCTCCTCCCTGAATATGACTTCTCGTCGCCGCACGCGTTTTTCATCGGCGGCCTTGGCTGCTGCTGCCACGTGCTTCTGTCGCTGTTCTTCGGCCAGAAGATGCAGTCTCTCTGCTTCTGCTTCTCTCTTCTTCCGTGCTGCTGCTGCTGCCTCTGCTCGTTGCTTGGTTTCGGCTATGATGGCTGCCAACCGTGCCTTATAGGCCTCGTCAGACTCGCCTGCTTTCTGATCCATCGCTGCTCTCTGTGAGCGAGTAAGTATGGTCATGCGCTGTGGGTCCCTGACGTGGCCTGCTGAAGTGAGGACTTACCAAGTCTGCAGCTGCCGGTAAATGGGCAGTTAAGAACAACGGAGAAGGGATGAAGAGTTGGGGTGGAGAGAAAGGGGAGTGGGCAATCGAATGGGTCGCCCAAATATGGAGCCACTAATCAAAAAGATAATAATAATAAAAAATAAATTGGAACTTTTGCAAAAATTCCGAGAAAAAAGAGAAAATTTCGAATTTGCAAGTTCGGTGGCCCCCCAAGGATCCCCTCAGCAGTTAGTTCGAAAAAAAAGCAAAATTTTTGAATTTCAGACTGCAAATGAATCAAATATCAAATGGAGATGATGGGAGTATTTGAACTGCGAAAACATCAACAAAAAGATACCAATTTCCGCAAGTCCAGAAAATTCCGAAATACCAAAAAAAATTCGGAATTATTTAGGTGAGAGTATAACGGCAAGAGGAATTTCCCGAAAAGGTAGAATTTGCAAGGAACATGAATGTGGACGAAGCACAAAAATCCAGATTGCAAAATCACACTGAAGTCAAAGTAGTCAAAGCAAGAGCAGATAGCACAATGGAACCGAGTAACCATCCATTTGAGAACGACACAGAAGAATCGTGAGTCAATGTCCAAGCCCAATCGGGCAACACCAACAGCATAACCCAATGTAGCTCTCTCTCTTGAATGGCGCCTGGCGCCCTATCTACTCTACAGCCTAATACTACAACTACAACATGAAAGCAACCAGACAACTTGACGACCAGCGAGTGATGACGTCAACACCAATGCCGACCTCCCTCTCCACCAGGTACGTCTCTCTCTTCACCCTCAGTCTCCCTTGTTATCCCACACAGCGCCCTTCACCTCCGTAGAACCACCTTCGCCCTTCACCTCCTCTGCGCCCACAGGCAGCCCGGCTATGGCCGCCAGCGCCCTGCGCCCAGGCTGCACTCTACCGCTTAGCGCTAGCCTGCCTCTCTCAGCCACAGTGCAAGTGCAGCGCTACAATGCAGCAGCGTGCCCTCAATGCCTGCATTGACCAAGATCCCTGCCCACTCGCCCTCCCTGCCTATATGCTAGTGTTGCGTGTGGGCAGCCTCCCTTGAGCCAGCGCCTGGGCCCCCGTACCTGTACCCAGGCCCAATGCGGTTGGGGCCCAGGAGATGCAGTTGCCCCTCTTTCATCAAGGTCTGCGGCCAGATTCAAATAGTGGACCGGTTTCTCATTGGCATTTTCGGCCTCTATATCCAGCATGCATTGTCGGCCTCACGTTTATGTGCCCAGGGCCTAACCAACTCTGGGGCCCTGGGATTTTTGCATTTGCAGAGCTCCGATACTCGGTGCACTCCAACCAACTAGCGTGCTGCAATTGTATGGACCCCACTTCGTGAAATGTTTGCACAGAGGGCTCTTTGTTGATTTGCTGGCCCGTCTTCACTTAGGGCGGGCACGAGGCTTTCTGGGGCCTTAGCCCAAAACACGTACATCATGGCAAGGCCCCTTCTTGAGGGCTCAATCCTCACATTCCATCCCCCTTAGCTTCGAAAGTCCGCTGAGATGCTTACTTCGCAGGTGCCTTTCCTTTTAACATCCTCTCATATTCTGCCACCACCTGAGGAGCTGTGTCAATCAGTTCCTCCCTGGTAAACCACCGATCTTCCTTCGGATCCGTATGATGCTTGAATCTGACGCGATACTCCCGCTTCGGTTTGGGAGGTCTTCCTCTACCCAGTGGCTTTGGAACAGGCAGATCTTTGTTATCCACAATGTCGTCGATGTCCACTTGACCATCCATGGTTGGGGGCAGCATTGATCTCCTAGAAGGGAATTGATTTGTCTCATTGAAAGGTGCAAGCTTTGAGGCATGAAAGAGAGGGTGAGTGCGTAGATGACCAGGGATGCGGATAACATAGGAAGGACCATCCAACTCATCCCCAACTATATCCAGGACTTCCTAGGGACCAAAATACTGAGGCATTAGTTTACGAGAGATTTCGAATTCCTGTCCTAGTTCACTGGCCTTGACCCAGACGTTCCCCTACCTGAAATGAGGACTGCCGACGATGTTTGTTCTCAGAAGCAATCATTGCTTGCTGAGCTTTCTTGATGTGCTCGACAGCTTGCTGCAGCAACTTCTCATACTGCACACCATACTCAAGTGTGCCTGGAGTTGCAGAGGGTCGGTTTTCAGGTA